CCCCAAAACCCCAAAACCCCAAAACCCCGAGATCGAGGAATCTGGAGAAATTTAGAAACACTGAGATTAAAGTAGGCTTCAATGCCAAGATATTAATTATTATTGAAACCAAATATTTTCCAATCTATTACAAGCTTTCAAAAAATCAAATTAATTCTTAATCATGCAGAAATAAGTAGAATAGGAATAAATGATGCAGGCATTATAGGAATTTGCAGAGGAATAACTTGTCTAAGATGTTGCAAAGTAAGTATATGTCTAAGGTCTAAAGAGTGTATTAGCTAAATAATGGAGGCTGATGAGGTCGATGTAACCATAGTATAGATTTAAGCTATTAATAATCCTGAGCATCACTAGGAATTTGCCAAATCAAATCAAGCTTAGCTTTTAAAGATTGAGGATAGGCAAGAAGCACCATTAATGTCGCCTATCAACTAAATAGAAGACAAATGTGGCTACTGTGTGAAAGAAGGGGTGTAAACTATTACGACTGGGGAGCCTAGAGGCCGTATATTTGGTTAAAATGAACTTGTTGGAGGAACTTAACATTACTATGAGGAATGTGTAAATCCTTTGGAATGCTTTATTCACAGTGAAGTACACCAGGATTATATAGATAGAGACAAAAGAGTAAAATAAGCTTAGCAAAAATATAAAAATGAGGAGGAAAAAGAAGGAGGAGGGTCATCACTTGTAAACAAAATTAAATAAGGATTCAATGAGCTTAAAGATGCTATATTAGGCAAAAAGGAACATAAGCCGGATGAATTTGGAGTGAAGGATCTTGACGAAATTGATGAAAACGATATTGCTTAAGAAGAAAAGATTGATTTACCTGTAAAAGAAAACCTTTATCACAAGGATGTCAGAGGTAGTGGGTCCCAGAAGTAGATATCTTTACTGAGGGATGATGAAAACCTTGAATTTTAGAGATAAAGTATTTCCGATAGAGAGAATGTTAGCGAAGAGTACATTATGAGAGATTCAATACAATACTAATAAGAAGGTATATAGAATAAGGAAGTAGAAGCTACATTAAGAGATTTTAATAACTTAAAATAATTAAATTTAGAAGAAATAAAACAATTTGAGAACGCTCCAACAGAAATGTACCGATAAAATATTGACGATAGAACTTTGAGAACTGGTGAGGAAAACGCTATCCTGACTGGTCCTAGATTACAGTAAACTTAGTAAGTAATTACTACCAAAAATATCAACAAGGTTGTTGCTTTAATTATTGCAATTTTTACATTTAATCTAATTATAGATATGCCTCAACTCATGGTGCCACGACAGTCACTCATGATACAAGAATCCTTAACCAGCCTATATAAACAGTAAATATTTTAATTAAATATTTCAGAGTCAAACTGCTTATGTCTAACCAATGCACACTACCTCTGCATTTGCAGAGAATTAGCAATACATAAATGAATAAGAATGCTTTTACTGTAAATTATAATATGGATTATAACCAAATTTTTATTAGGTATTCATGGATAGACTATGGAATTTTCCACGATCTAGTAGTAGGCACCTCCTTTGCATCTTGAACATCATTAAAAATATCATAAAAAGAAGCCTCTCTTTAATTCTAAGAACATCAGAGAAGCTGATCTTTATCAAGAAGATGTATCTGGTTCAAGAGTATAGGCTAATACTCTAGCAGGAATGCCTCTGACTTATGATAATAGACCTGTCCATGAATTGCACACTGGTGGATATAGATAGCCAGCTCATGAGCATTATGGCGAACTTCATCACGAAGGTAGAGATTTAAAGTTGTATCTTTAATAAATATATAGCAAGGGACATGGGCCAGAAGCATATTCATACTTTAACTCCTACAGATCAAGTTGTTGGATCTAACTTGAATTAGAGATTAGGTACAACTGAATATATGTAGAATTATGAGGAGAATCCTATCATTAGAGAAGCGCAGTATGAAGGATCAAGCTCATACACACGATAATAAGAGCAGATATACACTACTAATGTAGGTTAGACTGCTGGTGTTGGAACTACTGCTTACACCACTTAATATGAACCTGCATAATATTAGATGCAGAGAGAAAGAGAAACCTAACACTTTGAACGATAAGAGCAACCACGAAATGTTGAAACTGAATATAGACAAGAGACAAGTGAGTTTAGACCAGAGTAAGCTGAATATAGACAAATGGAAGCTGGCTATAGACAAGAAGGAGCAGAATATAGACATGAAGAAGCTGAGTATAGATAAGAGTAAACAGGATATAATAAAGAATAATACGGCTTTAAGGAGGGAACCTAGTTTACAACATTAGAGAACCCAGAGGTGACTTAGTTTTCTCATTAGGAAAGAGTACCAAATGAATGTGAATACTGCAGAAATGAAGAAGATGTTTTACCACACAAAGAACATGTCTCTCGAGGATGGCTAAGACCTGAATATGTTCCATTTGAGAGATAAGACAATTATGCAATATAGAGTAGTGCTCCTCTAATATAAACTGCTCCAACAGCCAGAGTGACTGATGCAAAATTACCTTTTGGTGGAACTAAACCTGGCCAATACATGGCTCAGGAGATTCCAATATTATATGGATGGGGTGCAGCACCCTCTCAGAGATTATATAAATCTAATGAGGTTGTGGGAATGAATTATGCAGGACCTGCAATGGCCACTAAGCCTCATAAGAGTTCCAGAGCTGACAAAAAGGCGGACAAGAAAATACATAAAGAAGCAGTAAAAGAAGCAGGTTAGCATAAACTTGAGTAAGAATATCAAGGAAATATCATGGAACAAACTGCTGAAACTAAAAATAAGATATTTTAGAATGTACATGAGCCAATTGACAGCACAATTGTCGAGAATAAACTTCATTGAAGTAGCATGAAACTCAATTTGAGAATTGTAATAATTAATATGAAGGAATAAGCCAATAAATTAAACTTAATTTGATGAATCAATATAAGAATAAGATCTTATTTTCAACATAAATATAAAAGAAATTTCTTAAACTTATCCTTATACTTAACAAAATCTATATGCTAAATTATGGGGTTTTGGGGTTTTGGGGTTTTGGGG